AATCTTGCCAAAATTTAAAAAATGTATTATGGAAAATTTCAACCATGTACAAAAGTAGAGATACTAGTACAACAACCATGTACACGTTACCCAGTTTCAACAATTATCAACTCAAAACTCTTCATTCTTCCACATCCCCAGTCTCCCTCCTCCTTGATTATTTTGAAACAAATCACTGACTTCATATAATTTTATCAATATTTCAATATTTACCTTTAAAAAAATCACACTAAAATTACAATAATTCTTCAGTATCATCAAATATCTAGTCAGTGTTCAAAGCTTCCTGACTGGCTCATTTTTCTTTAACAGATGTTTGTTAAAGATCATACATTGCAATTGGTTAATATGTTGAGGAAACTGTATCCTTTGTCTTCTTGTTTCTCACAGTCTGGATTTTGCTGATTGTATCCCCATGGTGTTATTTACATGCTCCTGTCTTCTCTGTAATTCCTGGAAATTGGTAATCAGATCTTGAAGCTGATTGGACACAGGTTCCATTTTTGGTAAGACACAACTTAGTATTTAATGAATAAAATCATAAGTAGTGTTGTGTACTTGATCAGATGCCATATGTCAGGTTGTTCCTGTCATTGTGACGTTAGTAGCCACTGGTGATTTTTGCTTAGATCCATTTTTAGACCTATTACTTCATTAGGGCCCCAAATCATGACATCCTATCAATTCTTCACTTATTAGATTGACAAGTTTGAAACAGAGCAACTTTCCTTCATCAACTGTTTTGTTACCTAAGGCTCTTGTCATTTAGGAAAGGCAGGCTAAACTTTTCCTTTATTTACCACCTATTTACTTTGAAAGGGGCTTATCTGAGAGCTCCTGTGGTTGTAAAGGATGCATACATTTTGCTTTAAAATATTTATTTGTAGGTTGTCCTGCTTTTAAAGTCAGGCTACATTTTCAGAATGCAGTTGTGCATTGTGGTTTAATATGAATAAATTTACAGTTAAGTGGGATTATAGGATTTAGCTCTAAAACCCTTGAAGAGGACTGCACTGAGAGCATTTAAATATCCAACAAGCAGCTTTCCAATGTTTAGCTACATTTCACAAATGCTCATAAAATATTACACTCTTTTCTGAAAGGTGGCCAACTAAATTTATAAACATGGAGGTTCAAGTCACTGCAAGTACTATTATAGCAAGTGTCTAGTCTCTTTCTCTCTCTCTTTTTTTTTTTGACAACTGGCCAGTACAGTGATTGAACCCTGGACTTTGGTGTTACCAGCACCACACTCTAACCAACTGAGTTAACTGGTCAGTCTCTTTTTTTTTCTTCTGGTCAAGGAAATGCCACAGGTGCTGGAATCAGACAGATGGGATTTGAATTCCCTTCACTTGTTTTGGTGAGATTAAGTTACTCTACATATCCTACATATGTAATAAGAGAATCTGAAATATCGGTGAATATTTTAAAACATTATACATTTCTAAAATGTTAGAAAATACATGTACATTTAGCAAAAGTCTCTTTTTTCTTTCTTTGGTTGGGGGTGAGGATGAGGTAAGGGATGTTGCAAATTGCCAGATATTGTTAATTATGAAATAGTAAAAATTGCTGTATCAAGAACATCTGTGATGATCTTAGGGCAATGATAGTGTGATCAGCTTTAGGTTGAAGTACTTTTACTCTATATTGATGGAGCTGCATGGCAGACCAGGCAGGTCTACACCCGAGGATCCCTGTCCTGTAAGGCAGTTTAGGGAGAGAGAACTGGGCAAATGCCAATGCTAAACTTGCCTTTGTTTCTACTAAGAGTATAATGGAAGACTGAGCACCAGTGACACAGAAATGCACTCTAAATTGACTAGAAAATAACCATAACATACCTAGATACTTCTCTTCTGTTACTGTTAAACTTACCTCTCTGCCTCAACCTGTCCTGTTTTTTTCCCCTTCTCCCGGATTGAGTCAGTACTATCCCATCCCTGCTGGCTCCCTGTCTTACTGGAGCCCTATTATCCCACAGTTGTTATATCTTTTGTGATGGTGCCAACACATAGTTGTAAATTCATGGGGCATCAGAATGATTTCCAAGTCACTGAGAAACAAGTTTAAACACTGAAAAATGTATCCCTGTCCCCTAATTTTCATCAGAATCTGTCAACTAGAAAGATATCAAAATTGAGATAAGTGGGGGAATAGGGTATACATTGTTAAAACACACAAAAACAGATTTTACAAAGTACAGTTTATGTTCATATCTCATTACTATATTAATTACATTTGTATAATGTAAATTCTGTGGGGCATGTCTCCTTAGAATTATATTTTTACAAACGTTTTATTGAAGAGTAATATGCATACAGGAAAGTGGAATTTACATTTTTAAGGTTATTAAACAGTGTCACATGACCATGACTGCCTTATTTCTGTTGTGACCCAAAATATGGTTAAAATTGTGAATTCAAGTGATAGAACATTCTCTATGCTATTTTAAAATAGCATTAAGTTCAGTTGTAATGTGCTGCATCAGACTTAGTTCTGAGTAATGCCTTTGAATAGTACACAGTATTTTATATTGGCCATTGTGTTTTATAACTCCTGAACAAGTTGAATTAAATATGAGGTTATATTTTTCTTTTCAAATATATATGCAGTTTATGGTGTTCATAACAACTATGTTAACTACAAAGAATAAAAAGACTTTGCAACCGACGACGGTTGGAACGGAAACAATTTCTGAGATAGAGATCAAATTGTGTTTACAGACACCATTATTGGCAGCTTTGCTATCAGTCATTTCCTGTGGGAATATTTCAGTGGGACATAATTTTATGCCTTGACCATTCATTAAATAGCCTTGGGTCCATGGAATAAAAATATTGTAGAACTGTAAATATTAGTGTATGCAAATTATAGTATAACATTTCATAGTATTTTCCTAAATAAGAATTACGATTATTTAACTGTGTTTCTTATTCATTACTGAAAGAATTTTAAAACAACACTAATACAGTATGGTCTAGTGGAGAGTTAGGCAATAGGCTGGAAATTAAAGCTCTTTTCTCTACATTAAAATCGATATTAATTCAAAAACATTTGTTATGTACAGTGTATAAGATGCTATACTTATAGTCTCTACCTTTTGGGAGTTTATAAATTTTCTTATAAGGGAGATAGGGGATGCATACAAATTGTATAAAACAAAACATGATAAATATACTGTGAGTGGTTAGGAACAAAGTACTACTGGAAATATGAAGTAGTACTGGAAGTACTTTGGAAGAATTTGAGATCATTTCCATCCGGGAGATCAGAGATGGCTTCATAGAGAAAGCAGTGAGCAAGTCTTAAAGGATGGATAAGATTTCTGCAAATACAGATGCAGGTAAAATTATTTCAGTAGGCAGAGAGACTAGGTACTAATGAAGGTAGTATATAGATCAAAGTACATTTAGAGATTGCAGCCTTTGACTGGTGCAAACAACAACAAAACAACTTACATAGGGAAATATACTATAGTTAGAAATAAGGTAAGTTATGGCCAAATTATTTTCCTGCATATAGGAATCCAAGCATTTATTTATTCAACAAATATTTCTTGAGTACTTGAGTACCTACTAAGTTTAGGTACTGTAGTATGTGTTAGCACATTTATGAGTAATTCAAAGGCCCTTTCTAATATGTAAACACTAAAAAATATAACTGAAATCAGGGATGATGGCAACACTGATTCTTATCAATCACTGATAGGTCAATTAATCTGTGGCAACAGAAGGTTCTTTAGTTTACAACTGGTACCTAGAATATGGGATTTAATATTTCGAGGAGAAAGTTGATTTCCAAATTACATTGTTTCTCAATGTCAATTTGATTGTTTCTCAACTCACTGTTTAAAGTGAAGTATAGACTTTTTAATATTCTAAAACTGCAAACCTGTATATAGTAGTATTTAATATAGTAGTCTTGTAGGCGGGGTGATGGGGGACACTGATATTTTCGGCTCCATGTTGCTAGTTTTGGTTGTAGGAATTAATTTTTTGTGTTAGTGTGAATTAATTGATTTTTTTTAAAGGCTTAAAAGACAGAGACCGGTGGTGATTTTTTGAGAAGAAATCGCTACAAATTTCCTTTAAATAGCCAGCTCTCTGTGCAATTAAAATGATCGGAACATTTCTACAGTACATTGCACCGAGATACACCTGTATTCATACAGTCCGTCAAAACAGTCTGATTTCTCTCAAGCCAGGACTTGCTATATCTAAGACACGCCTCGTGCAGCGGTGGCAGTGGGGAGAGGAGTGGTGAAGGTGCTAGAGTGGCAGCCAGGAGAGCACTTTCCCTTTCTCCGGCTCCCGAACCAAAACTTCACAGCCGCCGGCGGAGTCCCTGGCCGGCCCGCTCTACTTCCCCAGCCTCAGGCCTCACTGCACCCCTGGCGCTGCGTGCGCTCACCTCCGCGCCCTCCGCCTCTGCCTGGGCCGCTCGCCGCCCGCGCCCCGCGTCGCGGCCGGGGCTCCGGGGCATGCGCGCTGCGGCGCCGCACCCGCCCCCACGCCTTCCCGCGG